ACATCCACCTTAAGAATAGTAGCTATAAAGCTCCTCCTAGAGTTCCTCTTTACCACCGAGTAAAAGAACTTTGTATATTTATCACTTTGCTTAAGGAAGATGCATTTTGCCTTTTGATAATAAAAACTACGCTCCGCTTCACATAAACCAATGGCTTTCTTCCTCAATTTAGCAACCGTAAGTTGAAAATGTTCATTCATGGGCTGATTATGTAGTTGTAATTGAGCATCCTCCTAATCATTTTTAGCCTCATTTACCCTAGTCGAAATGTGCCCAAAATGCTTAGAATTAAGCTCCTTCAAAACTCCCTTTAGTTTGCTCAACTTCTTGTAAATGATAAATTGCTCTGTCCCCCGCATATTAAAGTTTCAACAAGTTTGAATAAGATAATGAAAGTCCTCATGCGTAGTCCACATGTTGAAAAACTTATAAGGTTTATTACCGTCCCAACACGGTCATGAACGGAAACAATGCAAGAGGAGTGGTTGGAAAGGCATCCGGAAGGTAGAAATTTGCATCAACATATGCCCCATTTTGCACCCAGATATCATTGACCACTGCTCTATCAATTTTGCTCCAAACTGAGTTATTAGTCCACGTGTAATAACAACCAATGGAGTGCACATCGGTGAGGCACACATGAAGGCGATAATTTTCAAAATCCTTAAATTTCATGAGTAACATCCGCCCCCATTACACTTCTCATCAAATTTGAGAACATTGTTGTAATCACCAAGAATTATCCAAGGCGATGAAACTTTAGCATTGAATTCCATAATGTTATTTCAAAGCGACCACCGGTTAAACAAAGTATGAAATCCATAAACAAAACTAACAAGAAAGATATAAGATGTTACATTGTAAGTAGCTTTACAATGAATGATTTGTGGATGAACTTCCATCACATCCAAAAACACTTTGGATGGATTCCACAAAATCAAGATCCGTCCAGCTGCATGAGTGCAAAAATTGTTAACATGCATGAAGCCATCGAACTTGTTCCGCAAAATTCTCTTAAATTTTTGATCTCCCAACTTTGTCTCCAAAATACCCATGATATCAATGCAATGTTGCTTAATAAATCTCGAATCCCATTTTGTTTTAAGGGTGGATTCATACCCCTAATATTTCAAGAAGCGATCTTCATGATATAGAAGCAAGGGATGCACCATTCTTCTTGTCAACTTTCGAAACTGATTTCCTTTTGTCCTCGAACTTGCCTTTTAGCTTTTCATTTTTCAAATTACTAGAATCTGCCTCATATTGATAAGATGATGAAACTGGTCCAGATTTGGAGTATCCATCAAGAGCATATTTTTTCCCCGAAACAGGCCGATTTTTCTTGCTAATGACCTCAACAAATGGTTCCTCATCCTGACCGAGAATCTGGCCTTGCTGGTCATCAATTAAGTGCTTTGTATTTCGGTTAAGAGGAAATCTTTGTTGCTCATCCAAATCCCCAGAATGCTGCCCATTATTTTTCCCACAGTTTGCTGTCTCGGTAGGAGGAAGCTGTGAATTACAGGCTGATTGTCCAGCCAGCTTTTTTGTTCCATGAGTATCCTGAGTTTTTACATTAGAAGACTCCACATTTTTTGCCTTTCCTTTGTCCCCCTCGGCATGTTTAATGTTGCATCCAAGAGAAGTATGACCGAACACTTTAGAAGAACCATAAAATTTTGGTTCATGTTCAAAATAAATTTCTTGTTCCCTCAACGTGCCATTTGGGAGTCTAATTTTAACCTTCCACACAAGTTCAATAGAAGTATCAATTTCGACAAGGGCTCTTGCATAGGAAAGTCACCCTCTAGTTGCCGTAATTTTGTCGGGTGAGATGGGTTTTCCAACCTTAGACATAATTTTGCCCAAGGCATTCGTATTCCAAAATTCTAAAGGCAACCCCGGTTGGTTTATCCAAACCGGCATGTACTCACGTCCTTATCATCAAAATCAAAATAACGTGGCATAACTTTTAGCATTAACGGTCTCCCATAAACCAAATATGGACCCCCATGCAATACACTTAATCTATCCACATCCGTTTCGAATTTGAACACCAACCAACCGCTCGCGTGCACAAAATATTTATAATCCACCTTCCACGAGTCACATAGTTGAGAAGAGCCATGATATTGAAACTTTTTGAAAACAAATCCGAAGATGTGATTTTGGATATCTCGGATGAAGAAATTATTGAAGAGAAGTGGGGATATGGTCTAGTTGGATATTTCGCAGGTCGATTTCCAGGGAAAGTGGCTCTTCTCCAACTATGTGACTCGTGAAAGGTGGATTATAATGTATATGTGCACGTCTTTTTGAGCAAGTATCGATGTTACCTTTCTTTGATTGCAGTGAGAGAAAAAGTTCAGAAGTTCCTAAATGCAGCCCAAACTGGAACTCTGGACCTTCTCATTTCTCAAGAGTTAGCAACTTGGGATTTTATTTTGACTTCTTTTCATTTAGTAGCTTAATTTTCATAGGGGCTACTGATGCAAGACGGAAACATGGATAATAATAAAGGGTCTTGTTTGTAACACACAAACGGATGTTTGTTCGAATTTAGCTTGAACAAATGTGATAATTATTTGGAATTCACTAATAAATTGAAAAACTGAAATATCTTATTAATCAAGAATTGAATAATGAAATTGAATTTTGAAAAAGTGTACAAAACCTCTTTATTTATCGAGAAGATTATTACCTATTTCTACTAATACTAGGATATTGAAATAAGGAAACTAGTAAAATCTAATCTAATTAAAAATCTTATTCTAATCAATAAAGAAATTATAGTGCTATTTAAATAAAAGATAAAAGTCATATCCAAACTATACCTAGAAAAGATACAGCTAAACACAAGTTTTTTAGTAGGAAATAATATTTATCTTAGGGTTCGTTTGATAGCAAAGGTGGAAAAGGCAAACCAATTCCATGGAAGTTGGAAAAGAAAAACCACCAAAACCATAAGAATTCAATTTTCATGGAATTGGTCAAAAACATGCTTTAAGTGTTTATACCTTGGAATTCGAACTTCAATTCAAAGTAAAAAACAAATTCCTCGAATGTGACATTTTCCATGAAATTGGATGCTATCAAACGGACCCTTATTTATTTTCTTTTCTAATTGGTTTTGGATTTTCTCTTGGTATTGTCCCACATTAGTTACCCTTTTGACCTCTTTGTTAATTTTGATGTCATACTGTTTAATCAACCTCAAGTCCTTTATCTACCAAATGGCATTTTATGCAGAATGCCTCCCCCAGTGGCAACAATCCATTATTCATTGAAAGAATATTGTGATATCGATCTGAATGATCTACTGGGGTGCTTTTTACCTGAGCAGCAAATTATTCCTTGGAAATAAGTGTCATTATCGCCTAAACGATATAAGGATATGGAAAGGTCTTTACGTCTTATCCAATTCGATATGGTAAAAGATGCATTGCGTGTGGACTTAGCGTTTTTATCTATATGCTACTACAGACACGATGATAGTAGCATTTGAATTGTTTTTATATATACATGACTTAATTCCTATTGTTCATGTAGTGATTTCAACATGTTGGTGGGTGAAAGAAATGGTCAAAAGCAAGGGAATAGTATTCTGATGTATATGCTAAAGTATTAATGTCATTTAACAGCAAGTTATTCCATTTTCCCTACATTTTGTGAAGGCTTTCTGTTTCTGACACTTGTTTGAAGACTGATTCTGAGTCCGGTTTTCCTCTTGACTTACTCTCTAACGATTAATTTTCACGTAACACAAGAGGCCAAGAAGAAAGCTGCTGAAGCAAAGGCAAGAGGTGGTGATGCTTCAAAGAGGAAGGATTATATGACTGCAGTTGATGCTTATACACAGGTTTGGTTCTTGTTACTTTACTGGTTTTATATATGATTATCCACATTGTTTCTTTTTTCGGGCCCCACTTTTCACAATTAGCTGGTGATGTTAGTGCATAATGTTTTCTTCAAGAAACAAATTATTTTGTCGAGATCTGAAAGTTTTGCAGTTTACATACCAACCAAATCCAACACTTCTTGATAACGAAATCCATGAACAACCAATGCAATGAATGCCGATAGAACGGATGAGTCGAGAATTGTTTACTGGGGAGGCATTAGAGTATTATGGGTGTTTTTACCTTTATAGGTTCTCTTTCACATTATCATATACAGTGTTGAGTATGCTGAGGGTTAAGTTCTTCTGTCAACTCCTTGGTGTGTCATTTTTTATTTTTTATTTTTTATTTTTGATATATTTAACGTTTTATCTTTTCATGTTTTATGTCATTGCACTTCGTTCTCAACTTGAGCAAAAATTGCACTTTTCTTGTTTTTAGTAGTGATATAATAGCACTAAGCTTTATTCAAACACCTCCGCATGTGCTAGTTCTTGAGAGTTTCGACTTTACCTCTTTATCTCTGAAGTTATCATCGAGCACCCGCCTCTTAAATATGTCTTTAACAGGCAGGCCATTTTGATCTTGACACTCCCCAAAGCCTAAAAAAATCACCAATAGAGCTACATGACTTATTGAGGAACACTAACCAACATAGTCAAATTCACAGCCAATTGAATGAGAAACTGCCCATGATGAAAACTTTAAAGCAATCTACACTTCTGACTTGGTGTAGCTTGTCACATGGGTCGTGAGTGGAAGCTTAGTTTTCGTCTGGGGTATGAGACTTGAGCAAAACTAATCATAGAGAACGCATCTATTACTTCAAAATACAGGCACAAGTTCAGAAAATATAAACCCATCAAACATACCAAGTCAATGATATGTTAGGGGAACAAGTGCTCGAAACTTCACACTATGGGAAAAAAAACCAAAAATGATAAATTCCTTCTATTCATTGCACAAAAAACTTGTCTTCTAGTAGTTAATAAATTGTTCTACGTGAGCAATTCCTAAAGAAGCCAAAAAGGCAAAAGACAGACCAAATATTTCATACTCCAACCAATCTCAAGAAAACAATACATAAATGAAAACCACCCATTTAGAAATGAAGTTCCATTAGCCCAATAATTGCCACCAAACTCTTAACAATTTGCTAATATCGTACACACAACTACAAGAAAAAAAACACTAAAAAATCAAGTATAACTTCGATTCAAATTCGAATAGAGCAAAAACTAGCAACATTTTAGATATCTGCTTAACATAAATCAAACTACACATGCAGCTGTAAGAATTGAACAAAGCAAACATCATCGAATTAAAATTTAAGAAGAGATCAACAATTCACTTATTCACGTCGACCACAATCTTCTAGCTATGAAGTTTGCTCTATAACTTCCACTAATGCTTGCAACTTCTTCTCAGCAACACAACCTCAAACTAGAAATTACTCCACAAGACTACAATGCTGAGTTAGAGATGCAAAATTCTCTGAATGATGATTTCAGCTTCCCTAACTCAATCATAAGCAACCACTTAACTTCGGAATTTTGGAAAAAAAAAGGTTAAATTGCAATCCCCAGCATCAACAATGAAACTTCAACTCAATTCCACAATAGATACAAAACTAAAAGAAGCAACTCATTTTCCCATAAGATCGAAAGAATCAGCTCCAAAACTCTAAATTGGGCGATACGGCTGCTCCCCGCCAACAACTGAGAGCAATCCATTTTCGGCTGCCTCACTTTCGTCCAAGAACAAGTCCTCATAACCCCTAAAAGCCGCATGAACACTGATCACAACAAACCCAATGATTAATGCCACAAGCACATTCAAACCCACATGAGTATACACTAGTGCAACTACAGTAATCAGGCTCAAAACCACCAAAACTACCCGATCATCAACAACTCTGTTGAATACGACAAGTGGGTCGTCGCGAAAGAAGTAGAGGACAAACCAAGCAACGAAGGTGATCAAGAATACAATCATCGAAATGGGGTGGTAGATTAGACTGCAAAAGAGGATGAAGAGGACGATAATAGCGTAATTGAAGCGGAAATGGTTGAGATTGCGGCGGATTCGGGACATGGCCTCGGCCCAGCCGGAAGGTAGAGAAAATGCGGAGATTTCGAAAAACACGCGCCATGGGCGGCGTATATCATAATAGGATCGAACGCGAGAGATCAAGGACGGTGAAGCTTGTTTGATGGTGGGGGTACGAGTGGATGCGGAGTATGAGTTTATGGACATTGTTGTACTGTGGTGGCTTATCAGCGATGAGGTGCGGAGGGGAAAGAGAAAACAATTCTTAATTAATCCCTACAACAGTGTTAGCTTACCCATCACACACTGATGGGTGATTGACTGAAATTGAAAATATGGCCCCATTATTTTCACACTTTGCACATTTTCCATTCCCATTTTCATAATATTTGGTCCATTCAGACCAAGACAGCTACCATTTTATGACTTTTGTGAAGAGCGTTCCAAAAATGATGTCAATAGACTTGGCTAGGTGAGGGTAAATACGTCCAACCAATTTTCGACGGTCCAAAAATGGCAAATAAAATTCGCTTGCTTGTTTATTAGTTTTTACTGTATATTAATGAGATTTTGTAGAGGAAATCCCCCCATTGGTCATCGAACTATGTCAAAATCTCCTAGGAGGTCACCGAATTTCACATCGTCCCTAAATAGTCACCGAACTTCACTTCACTCCTAAATGGTCGTTGAACTTTGCAAAAAGCCCATGAGAGGTCACTGAACTTATTATACATGGAGTCTCAATTTGTAAAAGTTGAGTGACTTCTTGGGGAATTTCGACAAAGTTCAGTGACCGTTTAGAAGCGAAGTGAAGTTCGGTGACCTCGTAGAGGATTTTGGCAAAGTTCGGTGACCATTTAAGGACGAAGTGAAGTTCGGTGACCTATTAGGGAATTTTGGCAAAGTTCGGTGATCATTTGGGGGATTTCCTCGATTTTGTATAATGGGCTCCAAATTGAGCCCGTTATAAAGATAAATTTTGGTAAAATAAATTATGGAATAGTATTTTTTTGGAAAAATATGTGTTAAAAAAAGGAAAAATTCTGGATTTATGTATAATATTGTTTTATTGAAAAATCTGATTAAAATGAAGAGAGTTAAAAATATATTAAAATTTTAAAGGGTGTCAGCATAAGGCTTCTAAAGATAAATTGCAAATTGCCCCAGTTCACACCCGGGGAAATACATGAAAATAACCCAAATAAAAGAAGAATTTTCCAAAATAACCTTTGACTTTTATAAATATTTTGAACTACCTAAAACACCCCTAAACAAATATTAAAAGCAACCCTTTACATAATAGAAATCTTCTATCTAAGTCCTTAAAGAATCTAACAAGTAATTTTTCTAAAAATTTGTGAAAATTAATAATGAATAATTATAAAATAGAAAAACCCAAATATAAGAGAGGACCATATAATATAAAAAAGATTGTTAAAAATAAAAAAGAAATTAAGTTTGAAAAAGAAATCGATAAGATAGGATATCAAGAACAATTATATGCATCACAAGAAATATTAAAATGTTTCAAAGAAAACTTATTAGAAAATTTTGCTAAAGGAATCGTAAGATCAATAATCATAAAAGATATACAAGATATAATAGACAAATTAGAAAAAAGAAAGAAAAATATCTCAAAATATGATATACCTTTTAGAACAGAAATAGATATGATAACAGATATTGATATTATAAATTCCCAAACATTACTAGACTTTGAAGAATTACTTAAAAATTTATGAAAAAGATAATAAAAAAAAGATTATCACAAGCATACAAAAAATTAGTTTTTATCTTAAAACTTTATATACACCTAATGGCAAAAATAAAAGAGTTTTTGAAATATAAAAATTTTAGATTTTTAGTTTCATGATTATTAGATTTTTAGATTATTAGATTTTTGTTCGCTCATAGTAGCACCCGTCCTTTGGTATCAGAGCTATAGAGGTCATGAAAATCTTAAAAATAAATAATTATTATCAATGTATTGAAGAAAAAAGATGTTATATATTCTACAACCCCATCCCTAATAAATTAAAAATAATAACATTATATATAATTAGGAATTTACCTAGAGAAATAAAGGAACAAATATTACATAGATTAATTGTAGGATTTATCAAAGATAGACATACATATGAAATAATTTGCGAAATATTTGAAAATGAATTATACCAGAGAGAAATATATAAATCATCATAAAAATATTTTAGAAAGAAAGATAGAAAGAATAAGATTAATAAATAATAAAATTTTAGATGAATTATTAATACCTGGAGAAATGACTAAAACCCAAGAAAAACAGATATTAAAATTAAAACAAGAAAAGTATAAAGAAAAAGTAAGGTATTATGAAAAATTAAAAGAGCTAACAAATCCTGAAGGTATAAAACAAAAATATGATAAAATGATAAAAGAGTGTAAAAATGTCGAGTGTATAGTATTTTATTATTGTCAATCAAAAAATAGATAAAATGTCAATCAGTGAACATATGGAAGAATTAAAACATTTAATAAGAACATTAATTAATGATGTACAAGAAATTAAGAATGAAATAAAAGAAGCTAGAAATGATATAAATATATTAAAACTTGAAGTCAGAAAATTAAAAGAAAATGAAGAAAAGAATAATAGAGTAGATAAAAAATTTATAGAAAAAGAAATAACCAGAATAGGGAAAAAACATATTGAAAGGAAAAATATAATAATAGAAACAGGAAACAGGAAACATGAGTTTAGAAAAAATATATTACCTAAAATAATAGAAGAAGAGGAATCTAGAAAAAAAATATTAGGTAAACAAAAAACTGAAGAAAATCAAGACAAAGAAGATGAATAAAGAATTAGATCTACTTATAGATAATTTTGATCATTTAAGTTTAGAAAGTATAGATGATGAATACCAAATCTTAATGAATACTGGAGGAGGACCTAATCCCGTAGGAACCTCTAAACAAGAATCAATAAATCCAGATGAAAGCTATGCTCCAATGTATAATAAACCATATAGGCAATTTTATGATAAAATAAGAGATAAACAACCGTCCAAAGGAAATAAAATATAGTAATAGATTTGAATTAAATAATAATTATGATAAACCTGTTAATCATGAAGGAACAAAATTAAACTTAGATTGCAAAATAGATACTAAGAAAGCCTTAATAACTTGGGCAGACTCAATGATATTATTCTTTAAAGACGATACATGGGAAAATACTGAAAGGAGAATAGATTTTTTAATTGCATCTTTTGAAGGAAATGTTAGAAATTAGTGGGAAGGAATTAGTAGTGATACAAAATCATTAATAAAAAGAAATGTACAAACTGAAATAATAAAGTCAGATAAACTAGGAATAGAAAGATTAGTAAAATTTATTGCAGATGAATTCTTAGGAGAAAATTGGTTAAGAAATTATGAAGAAGAAGTAATACGAGAAAAAGATAATGCAAGAGTTAAGTTAATTAATCTAACAATTTGTGATATGTGTAAAATTAAAGAATATACTTGTGAATTCAAGGAATACTATTATACTCAATTTTATAGTAATGATAATCAAGAAGTATATCAAGATATGTATTATAATAAATTACCAGGTTCATGGGGAATATATTTTAAAATAGAATTTGAAAAATATATTGAAGAAAATATAGGAATATCGAGAACACTAAGATCAAGAATAAAATTTTTGTTTAAAAGACTTGCATATATATGTCAACAAAGACAATTATTGAAAAATTCAGAAAAATTAGCTAGAATATGTTGTGAAGATATGGAAAAACCTACAAGATGGGGATGTAATTCTGAAAAAAGAAATAAAAGAAAATATAAAAACGGGAAATTTAAAAAATATAGAAATTTTAAGAAAAAATATTTAAAACCTGGAAGGAAATATTATAAAAGGAAAAATAATATTCAGAAAAATAAACATTATAAGAAAGATAAAAAACAATGTAAGTGTTGAAATTGTAGAGAAATATGTCATATAAGTCCTGATTGCACAAAGAAAAAAGTGAGAATATTACAAAAGGATTATTTTGAAATAGAAAGTGAATTAAGTGAAATATCTGATATTGAAAATTATTATAATCAATAAATATTTATAAATGAAGTAGATTCAGAAGATTATGGATCAGAATCTGAATAGAGAAATTGAAGAAATAGAAAATAATAATATAGAAATCTAAAAATATGAGGGAATAGAAGGTTATGGATTAAAAGTAACTTTTGATAATAATAAATTCAAGAAGATATAAAAGTTATCCTTAGATTTAAAAATAGGAAAATGAGAAATTTTAGATAGAATATGGAGAAGAGAAAGAATAGCAAATAAATGAATACCATAAGATTGAAAAAAACTATAGATGTTAGAACTACTCAGGGAACACATAAAATAAGTCTTTTAACAAAAAGTACAGTATCAGAATTATTATCAAAAATAAGTAAAAAGTATAGTGAAAATATCCAATATGTTTATTTAGTAGGAATACAAATAATGTTTAAATCCTTATTTAAGGAAGGAATAGATTCACCATTAACTGTAAGTTTACATGATGGAAGAATTATAAATTTGGAATATGGTCATTTAGGAACTATAGAAGAAAATTTAGCATATCAAAAGTTAATATTTACCTGCTACCCAAAATATTGTGTCTCATTGAAAGATAAAAACTTTAACGAAATTTTAGGATTACACTTCAAATTACATAGAAATGATATAATGGAGCCAGGAGATCAAATTATGACTATGGAATATAGGGCATTATACACATTTACTAATTCTAATTATGGGAATATTTATTCTAATAAACCATACATAGAAATTCACGAGGAATGTTAGGATATTAGTAAAATAGTGGAACCAAACAAACAAATAAATCTTATTCCAGAAGAATATGAATTTAATATAAGTAAAAACAAGCCTGAAATAACAGAGTTAAGAGAAGAAGAAGATTATAAAATAACATTTCATAATGAAAGGTTGATAAAGAAATCAAAAAGTCTTAAACTACCAAATAAAAAGGAATATTTGGGAGAAACTAGTGGTATAAAAGAAATAAAACCTCATGAAAATATTGGAAATATGAAAATAGAAGGAAAATATTTCAACGGTAGAAGGTATATAGAAGGACCAAATATATTGATAGATACAGGAGCTGGTGAATGTCATATGGCTGCAAAAAAAAATGAAGGATTAATGACTTACAAGATAGAACCATATGAATATAGAAATTTTGATGGACAACTATATATCACAGAATTAAAGGTAAAAGTACCAATAAAAATAGGTGGAATTGATCTTTTAGTACCATGTTATTTGGATGAAAGAATGGATATTGAACCTCATATATTATTAGGA